CTTGCTGGCAAGCAGAAAAGCAAAGGTTCGATGGCCAAACATGCAACTCCACAAGCGACTGCTGAAGGATACCGTCCTCTCTGGAGGCCTCTGCTTGCTCATGGCACAGTTGTTACTGAAGTCCTCAGGTCTTTCATGCAAGAAGGGAAAGATGCTGCTGGCCTCTTTGTCTTTGGAAAAGTCGTATGTGTTTTGAGACAGTAAGGGGCTGCCAGGAAATTGCCACAGTCTTCAGCAGGGAGTCCAACCAGCAGTGTCTCCTGTTTATTATGACTGCCTAGAATGAGCAAGACAAGGAGTTGGGTTTCACCTTGAATAATAAACTTACCGCCTGTCAAGTTGTTACATGAGAAATTAAACTACTTTGGGTGCCCTTTTACAGGAGAGGAGCAAATAACAGGTGGCTGGAACTGTGGAAAAGCACATGGGGTATCAAGAGTGTCTTTGTGACCGCAGACTGGGAGCCAGGGCTGGAGGAAGGGCTTTACAGAGAAAAAGCTGCTGAAGTTCTCATTCTTTGCTCTTCCTGCAGCCCCACAACAGCCCTTCTCTGGATGTAAGTCAGCATCTGGATCCCAATAAAGATGGGCTCAGAAAGGGTCTACCTGGGAACATGAAGGATCTTCCCTGGGGGGTGAACTTCGACATTCCCTCCGTCACCCTTGAGTCAGACAGGTAATGTGAATCTTTCTCATTATTAGACTTATTCTCTAGGGCATGGGGACCTGGCAGCTCCCAGCTAAGTCCCCAAAGCCGGGCAATATCAAACTGGAAGAACCTCCAGAAACTGGAATCTGTAAGAAAAGAGTTTCCTGGTATACTGCTCTGGCAAAGTAGCTTTGTGTTGTAGCAGGAACCTTCTCTGCAGAGAGGGCTATGGGAGACGTTTGGTTCTGCTTCTATTGACTGGCAAGTGTTTAGACCAAATAATAAAGTAGCAAAGTTTGTGAGGAACGGGACAAAATCTCTCTCCTTCATGAATCCTGAAGTCCTTCCTTGCTGTGTTCTTTATTACCATGTTTACCAGGCTTCTGGCTTTCCCCGCAGCTTGAGAGCTCTCATCTAGACATGTTTCATCCCTCCCTGTTCATAAAGGGCCTGTGCTTTCATCTACTAACCTCTTGGCATATTCTTTCCACAGTGGCAGCTACAGATCATCTAAAACCACATCCTGTAGGAAGGAGGGGTCTCTGGACACCCATCTCAGCCCAACTTTCTCTGGTTTGCCTTCAAGGTACGTTTGTCATGGATAGCACCTTCCTCTTGCAATGGCAGAACATGCACAGCAGCAAAAGCTATTGTATGTGAGGAAGGTAAACCTTGGCAGGCAATAAAATCCCTCCTACAGCACTGGCCTTGGGTTTGAGGTCTGGGATTCGCTTGAGAGCCCAAGGCTTAGATGTAGATGCCACCTCCAATTTGGGCTATCTTCTCCGTGAGCCACGCAGTCTCTAGTGCATCCAGCGGAGTGGCAGGTGTTGTAAATAGGGACGCACCATACAATGCATGGTCTGGTGTGAGGGGACCTGTGTTGTCCAGGGTGATCACCTCCTTTTATGCAATTTACTGATCTGCTCGGCCCTGATTTGATGACCATCTGGTGAGACCAGTTTCTCTCAGCACCCTGGAAGGGGAGGCAGAGGTAGGAGCTCATCAGTCTCCTGCTTGTGGGCTCATTTTGTAGCTTCTGGGCTTATTTTGTAGCCCGGGCTCTATACACGAGATATACACTCAAAAAGCTTTGCCTTTGTTTCTCCACACATAGAAGCTGTTATAACAATATTTCAGGTGAAATTTAATGTCTTCCAAATGTTTGAAAGCGCTTTGAAGGAGAAAAGAATAAAAGCTTTGAATGGCAAGCAAATTATGCTGCAATTGCTTTGATTTTTAGCAGAAACCAACAGGTGTTGCTGCAGGAAAGATGACTGCCAGGCTGCGTTCCCCCCCCTCTCCAGACTTGCATGGGAAAAAGTCACCCGCAGACATTGCTGCTGTTCCACTGGGTCTGGAGACCTTGAAGGAAATTGCTGCCAACACCAAAAGCATCTCCCTCATTGCAGCCAGTCGCCGTTCCAGAGCCCGAGAGAGAGACCCTGGGAGTGAAGTCTCCTCAGCCCACTTCTCTCAGGAGGATATGCTTGACCTGAAGTATCTAGAGGCCAATTCCACCCCAAACTGTCAGATGAGAGACAGTGCAAGTATCAGGACTTTGCTGTCAGAGCCCACAGCTGGGAACCAGCTGTGCTCCCCAGCCAGGGGAGTGCTGAAGAACAGGAGACACCAGGAGGTGTCTGCTCAGAGGACAGCCAGAAAGAAAAGATCTCAGTCTCTTGAACCAGACTTCCACAGGGTAGGTCCTTTGTCTGTCTTTCTAACAGGAACGGGTTGAGCAGAAGACATAGACCCAGTGGAGCTAGGGTGGTTTTTAAATACGGTAAGAGATACATAGTACAAGCTGCATGAGGAAATAAGTTAAATATCTTTATTCTTCTATAATGCCCTTGACCTCCTGCCTAAACCTGCCTAAAGTCAGGTGTGAAGGGAATATTTTTGGTACAACATTGCAACAACCAGAGGTGAGAGACATCACCAATGAGGTTAACTCAACTTGGTGTCTTTCAGACCTCAGAAGCTAAGCACTGGACTCCCTCAAGCCCCAGTACAGATAAAGCTTGTGAGAACCACCTGCGTCGAGCTAGACTCTTCCATCAGTCAAAAGCTGCGAGTAGCATATCCACTGCCGCAAAGGTCAAGGTTCCTGTCAGCCACCATTCAGGTAGGGTCCAAAGAGGCATTGGAGACATCCTGCGTCAGCTCTGTTGGAAAAGATGTATTATCGTGTGAGAAATAAGCCAGAGTAAAAGCTTAAAATCAGATTACTAATAGTTCTGATCTTTTTTTTTTTTATATATATCATCTAAGTAGCTTTTGATGGGTAAGACAGCATATCCTTTGTAGACCACTGCCTCAACTATGCCTCTGTAACCTAGGGGGAAGAATTAGCGTTCAGTCGGGTTCACATGCAACAAGGTGCTGATCTCAGTCTAGTCATTCAGGCAGTTTTGCGCCCAAACCAAGGCTTACCAAGGAGACCAAGACGTGACAGGCTGCACCGACCATCTGTGTGCTTCAGTTGTTCTGCCTTGTGCTGACACAGAAAGCCAGGATGAGTTTAGGGCAACTGGGTACCCAAATCCTACTGAAACAAAGCCAGAATCCTTCCCCATTCTGGCAAGGGGCGATGATTGATGCTAATTAGTTCTTTTTATATATTATTTTAATTTTTAAAGTGTTTAACTATTGATTTATATTGCTGCAATTTATTTTGGCTAGCGATTACAAACTCATGCATTGCAAAATGTTTTTTTAAACTGTGTTCTGCTCCCATCGTATCTAACGAAGCATTCCCTGCCTTTGATAGAGGGGACTCCACTAGAGGTGCTGCCAAAAGACACTGTTCCTGCAGGCACCGTCCGGCAGAGCAACGCCGATAGCGTCAAAGGACGGGTCCTACGGAAGCAAGGCAAGGGTGAGTACGCGAAATACCAGGTTGGCTAGCTCAGCAGGCACTACAATATTCTTCAGCACTTGCTCTTTTGCAATCTGAACCTAAAGAGCTGCAAATGCAACACAAACGGTCCAGCTGGGAAAGCAGCCTTGTGGGTGATGGGTTTGACAGCCAAGTTTTAAGGCTTTTCTTTTTTTTTTTTTTTTCCTCTACAGATGACATGGGCAATGTTCCAGAATGAGTTACACTCCATCTCCCTCTTAGCCAAAAATAACCTCTTTGGAAGAGAAAATAACATTTTCAGAGGTGTTCATAATCCTAGTCTAATCCATATGTGAAGTACAAAATTTAATCTGAGTTAGCCATGTGACAACATACTGCTCCCACTGAAAGTGTCGCCTTGGGATTTTCTTAAGGCAACGATGTTCAGATCCCAGTGCCTTTGCCAAACGCTCCCCTCCACAGCCCGTGGCAATCTGTCTCTTCCCCATTTTGACTGGCAATGAGACTAAGTCGAAGCGTGAGAAACTTGACCCAGCGCTTTATCTTCCCTCGCTTGCAGGGCCTGCAGATGGTGCCAGCAGTCGGCAAAAGCAGCAGTCAGGTCCCCGCTGGGGGAACCAGCCGAAGCCTAAATAGAAGTCACTGGAGGAGCAGGACTCCATGGCCCCAAGGGATTATTGCAATTTTGAGACTGCTGGAAGTCCGGGAAGCAAGTGCAGGGGGAGTGCGCCTCAACACAAAAGCTAAAATACATTTTGTGATGCTGAAAAGCAGAGGGAAGGGTAGAAGGGGGAGAGGGACCTTATAGGGTGGTATATTACTTTCTCCATATCCCTGCTGCAAGTCTTTCATCTCTGTACTGCACACTCTAGCTGTTAGCTTCAGTTTAAGACAAGTAGCATGTTAACAGAGTGCAAGATAAGAGGAGAACCTCATTTTCCCAGCAGTGTTCGCCTCCCAGAAGATGTCAGCATGGAGCCCAAGCCGCCTTTTATCCCAGGGAAAAGTGTGGATGCCACCCATGCATCCCAAAGGCTCCCTGACTATTAAAACCAAATGTAAATGCCTGAGAAATAGTTTCCCCTTTCTTCCCCACCATCCCTGTGTGTTGCTGTGAAGCTGGGAGGTGTAACGCACGCCTGGAATGCTGTTTGGGTGAGCAGATGTTTGGCTGTGAGAGCAGCCAGAGATTGCTCCAAGCTCTTTTCCATCTACAGAGCATTGCAGATCTGACTGAGCCGGGAGAAGGAGCATGGTGATAGGTGAAGACCCTGATAAGAGTCAGCCCGGAGGTAAACCGTGGGAATGTGGTTTTTTTTGGAACAAACGTCTCCAGCCAGCAGCCTTCTCCATAAGGGGCTTTTTAAAAGCATTTTCCCTGCTTTTTAAATACACTGCAAATAAAGTAGTTCTGGTCATTGCACTGAATAAGTAGTGACTCCGTGCCCCAAACAGGAGTGGCTTCCCGCCTAAGTCTGCCAAAGTATTGAAGATGACAGTCTCAGGTAGGTTCATGCATTTTCTGAATGGGTGAAGAACCTTTTTTACAGCTGCAGCACTTGCCAAGAATTCTTCTACATGTTCCTTCTGACTTGCTGTGTGACACCAGGCACGCTCCCTCTCGCTTTGCTACCTGTCAAGATGAGGAAGGATAGCTCACTGCAGGGATGAGAAAGCTTAAATTACTTGTATTTATAAAATGCTATAAACCCCTGAAGTAGGGATGCAATACGTGTGTGTAAGATGGCATAAGCAAGCAGCCAATTTTCCTTACGAAACAGAAAGGAGCAGGAAGAGGTGCGATTGCGAAGTAGGAAGGTCAGGAAAACTTGTTCCCCCCGGGGCTGACTATTTCACATAAACAAAGATATAAAAAAAGGACACACAGATAAAATAAGCACAGACTGTGTGTCAAACAAACCTGTGCCAGCAGGTCTTGAGCCAAGCCTCTATTTACAAGACCTCACGTGACCTGCAAGCGCTGAAGGACCAAAAGTGATGGAAAACGGAGCTTTCCAAGCGTATATATTGCCACTAAATACCTTTGGGCTGAGTCACCATGAAGAGTTGCAGTGTTTGGAGCTATTTCATGCAAAGAGTGGGACATTTGAGCTGAACGCATCGGTTTGAGGCTGTATCTCTGAAGGGAAGTTGTGCAACAGAGTTTGATAATTTGCCATGACTGTTGTGAAGAGTACGAAGCTGCAAGATGTACTAATTTCCCTGTTTATGAACAGACTTAAAATGTAGGTTTTACAAATGTAAAAGTTGGGGATTTGGGATCTTGGAGGTGGAATCTGTAAACTAGATGATTATTATTATTAAATTAAATGATAATTGCTGGAGGTGAGATTGCAGCCCATCTCCTGCGCAAAGTGGGACAGTGCTCATAACGGCTTTTTGATTTGATTCTTCTCGATCACAAATGGCAAGAGGAGCAAAGGGAGCTTAAACTCTTCTGGGCTTTTCCAGCAGCATTTTTTAGCCTTTCTGTATCCAGTTATATATACTTTGCTCCTAATAAAGAGTGCTGGGCTAGAACCCAAAAGGCTGGGTTTTCTTCCACAAAACAGCTTAAAACTGACTGCATCGAACCGCGAGCTCCAGCAAGCAGCGATGTCAGGTCTGGGGATGTTGCATCCACCTCCGCGCAAGGGCTGCTGCTGCCCCGTCCACCGCTGGCTCCTTGTCATAGAATCACGGAACCGTCTAGGTTGGAATGGACCTTTAAGATCATCGAGTCCAACCATCAACACTGCCAAACCCACCACTAACCCATGTCCCTCAGCACCACGTCTGCCCATCTTTTAAATACTTCCAGGGATGGCGACTCCACCACTGCCCTGGGCAGCCTCTTCCAGTGCTTGATAACCATTCCAGTGAAGAAATTTTCCCTAATATTCAAACTAAACCTCCCCTGGCGCAACTTGAGGCCATTCCCTCTTGTCCTATTGCTTTTTACTTGGGAGAAGAGCCCGACACCCCCTCGCTCCCCCCTCCTGTCAGGGAGCTGTTGGAAGCGATAAGGTCTCCCCTCAGCCTCCTCTTCTCCAGGCTGAACACCCCCAGTCCCCTGGGGCGCCCCTCCCGCGAGTCCTCCCATTTAAAAATGAGTTTTAGCTTAAATTTTCCTCGTGTAATTGCTCGGAGGGGGCAGCTCGCCCACGCAGCCTCCTCTCAGGGAGCTCTGAGAAGAGAGCCCTCTCCTCAGCCTTTGCCACCGCCGGTCTCGGCCTCTGGGAAAGA